TACACCAAGGACTTTTTTTTTTCAGTTTCTGATGGCGTGGCATCAAATTAACAAGTCACGCAATGCCGAGTGCAGCTGTGCAGCTGGTTTTTTATGCACTTCTGTGTTGAGTCTACTTTGGTGCCGTTCATTTACCTGTTGCAGATAAAGAAAAAAAAAAGAAAACTCCAGCATCGATAGACCGAAATGGTGACGCTCAAGACGAATCTGTCTATACGTCCTGTTTCAAATATCATTGATCAGCGTAAACCGTTTTCTTCACTTGTTTTTCAAAACCTTTCTCTATGCATACAAACCTCGTTTCCGACGGAGAAGTGTAAACCGGTGGCATCGATGACAGTTATCGTTGATTAACGGCGCGAAATATTGTTTTCTTGAGTATCTTCAGCCACGTGAGAACCGTTCTTGATTGGAGCAGAACCATGACGGCGTGCTTCATCGTGCCACACCTTCATTATAGCAATCTGCACGCAGCTTGTTGAGCACTGCCGCCTGAGGGCTGCCAAAATCTCGAACCGCTGCTTCTCCGCCAACGCTTAACCTTTCCGAAATTTCGCTTGGCTCACTTCATGAAACCCAAGGCAAACAGTCATCACCGATGCATGGTTCTGCTGAACGGAGTCCTCCGGAGACCTCCTCGCAACCTTTCTTCGCTCCATCTTTTGCGCGACTTCATCTCTATGTGTGATGCGAGGTGATAACGCTCGTGCTGCACGGCGGCGTCTTCTTCCTGAACGTCCCACCACGAGCACAATGGTTGCTCACTGTGAACAAAGCAAAGAAAAGCTTTTTATTCCTAAAGATTCCTTCGTCTTCTTTCTTCGTGGCGTTGTGCGTGTAGTTATGGTCAGCTTACAGCAACTGTCTTTGCGGCAGTTCTTATATATGGGTGTTCATGTCATCGTAAATGCCGCAATTAACGCATGTATGAGCAGCATGCAGTCGGTGTACTTTGTCTAAGCGTTAGGCGGTGTCCGATTCTCTGCGAACAATTCCATGTAATGTGTATACATACATAAAAAAACGTTTCTAGAGGTTGACGTGTCATGACGTTGTAACTACACCTAATATGTCGGTGGTTAATTTTGCGGTGCCTGTACCGTGATTTTGCGTACAGCGCATGCGCTCGTCATCTTCTGTACGGGATCGCGGGATCAAATCCTGGCGGCGGCGGCTGCATTTTCGATAGAGGTGGAAATGCTGTAGGCGGCGGCTGCATTTCCGATTGAGGCGGAAATGCTGTAGGCCCCGTATGCTCAGATTTGGGCGCATGTTAAAGAACCCCAGGTGGTCGAAATTTTCGGAGCCCTCCACTACGGCGTCTCTCATAATCATATGGTGGTTTTGGGACGTTAAACCCCACATATAAATCAATCAATCAATCAATCAGTCAATCAATCAACCTTCTGTGATATCACGTATATGACGCACTGAAGTCATCGAGCTCGGCAAATCATTTTGTTGCGTAGTTAGCGCAGCGAAAGTGTGCCTTTTCTCGGATGCGTTTGTCTTCAGGAGCTCTGTTGGAGCTGCGTATCATATACAAGATGGCGTATATATTGACGTAGTTCGTGAATATGTAAGTGTGAGCAGCGTGGTGGGCGTATTGTTAGGGAGGTGAACAAAGGATCGGCAAGATACTTGGGTATTCTTAACACAAAATATGGATAGGTCTATGTGTGTGTGCACGTTATTTTTTTATTATTATTTAGGTATTCTTAGAAAATTTGTTTGCAATATACGAGTGATGTCGAGGCAACTATAGGATAGCCTGGCGAAGAGTCCATAACTCGCTATCGCCTGGATGGAATACTAAACTGCCGAGATGGGAGGAATGCAGGTGACGAAATTAAACAACGCGCATTTTACTACTGTCCGCAAAAATAGGTTGCGAGAAAGCAGAGAGGCAGGAACAGGAGAGAGAGAGAGAGAAACGGAGAGATAAAAGAGAGGAAAAGAATTTGACCATTTAGGATTAACTGGTATAATTTTGGCCAATTCTCACATTCTCTCATCATTAGTAAAGACAGTTGTGCAATTGTATATATATATATATATATATATATATATATATATATATATATATATATATATATATATATATATATATATATATAAGGGAAACAAGTGTATACTTAGGGCTCATTTTCGTGTTTACACAATATTAATGAGATCTAACAGACAATATTGCCAAGGAAGGTATAGGGGAAGTTGTTAGGCCAATTGTAATGTAAATGAGAAGAAAGAAAAGTGGGTGAAAAGATAACTTGCCGTGGGCAGGATCCGAACCTGCGACCTTCGAATAACGCGTTCGATGCTTTACCACTGAGCTACCACGACAGCTATCCCCCAGCCACTTTATTGGGTATCTATGTCAACTTAAACGTGGGAGTGTCAGTCAGCGCAACTAGTAGCCATGGCGGCGAGTGTGGCACGCTCTTTATGAGCCTGTTTGACGTCACGTAGAACGTGAACTTTATTACTAACTGGCAGCTGACCAAATAGTCCCTCGTATACAACCTAAAGGCACCAAGTCTACCTGTACGAGACCCTCGTTAATGAATAAGGGAAACAAGTGTATACTTAAGGGCTCGTTTTTCGTGTTTACACAATATTAATGAGATCTAACAGACAATAATGCCAAGGAAGGTATAGGGAAGTTATTAGGCCAATTGTAATGTAAATGAGAAGAAAGAAAAGTGGGTGAAAAGATAACTTGCCGTGGGCAGGATCCTGCCCACGGCAAGTTATATTGTCACCCACTTTTCTTTCTTCTCATTACATTACAATGGCCTAATAACTTCCCCTATACCTTCCTTGGCATTATTGTCTATATATATATATATATATATATATAGATATATATATATATATATATATATATATATAAGCTGATCATCAGGCTTGGTTTCGTGGTCCCTATGCGGAGCCCCTGCGCTTTCTCTTCACCTGAATAAAGTTTCATCATAATCATAATCTGGTGTTCTTTGACGTGCACTAACATCGCACAGTATACATAGGCCTCTGCCGTTTATCCTCCATTGAAATCGCGACCTTCGAGTCATCAGCCGAACACCCCAGCCACTGAGTCACCGTGGCGGAGGAATTAAAAAAGAAGAAAAGGGAGTTTGATGGGGATTACTTCATTAAAGAAATATCCAGCCTATGGTTGAACCGGCGTGTTCATATTGTTTGCAACTCCACAGTTCGACGTTGCACTCGGTGAAATAATTCACCGATCTGAGTGCACGAGCCTTCGTGATGTCTGCTACGCGTTTTATCGTTTAGCTTGCCTTTCTTGTTGCGATGGTGATGACTACGTATACGTAATATAGGACAATCGGGCGGCGTATGCCGAGCACGCAGCCACCACCTCCATGTACGCTTCCGCTGTCTGAGGCTGGAGCGTCATTAAGTGCTTACGCGCATAAATGGCGCTTCTCCGCTACAATAGAGTCCAACTTTCACCGCTACACTACAATCTACGTAGCACCGCTACGTTTCACGTTTCACCGCTGTACTATACAGTCATCCAGATGTGCGGGATATGTGCGGGATATTTGGTTTAGAACGTTCGTTTTCTTCACGCTTCTGAAACCTATTATTTTTTTTTTTTGGCAACAACATCGAGCATATGACCACGCGAGCTAATCGCAGCGGTTCGAAATGCGAACGATGACCGTATAGGCGCGCGCTGGGTTGCTCATTAGGGGTGCTTATCGTCGCGCCACCGCCCCTTAATTACTATGGGGCAATGTATGAGGGCAGATTTTGCCTCCCCTCCTTCCGGATAACAAAGCGCAGCCCCCCCCCCCCCCCCTTTCTCGTGCACACGCCTATAACGATGACAGAACCACTTCATGATGCTTGCTTGACCATAACTCGCGTATGACGCATGTACGTATGCACGTACACTCGATATGGGCAACGTCGCCATCCCGCGAGCGGAAGTGAAATGCAAGGCGTCCTCCTGCGTGCTTGGTATCGTATTCTCCGTCTTTATTTTTTTTCCTCTTTCGCGAGCCTGTATAGCTAGCTGGCCGCAGTGTCTCGGCATTTCACATCCGCGAGCGAGGGATCGTCGGGCAGCTTTCAAGGACGTGGAATGTTCGGCGTGTCGACTGCGGTGACTGACTGCGCCAGTAGTCGTCGTGCTCAGCTCCTGCTCAGCGCACAGTTGTACCGAGCGTATAATGTATGTACCCAGCGGCGGTTATGGAAGTTGCGAACTTTCTGGCTGTTCTGAGAGGTTTGTTTTCCCAACCCTGAGTGACCGTATGCATTCAGTCGAGTGCTCGCGTACTCTCAGATGCTCCGTGTGTGAGACTGCTTTTGAAGGATATACTACATATGTATATGTGTGTGCCTTACTGCAAGAGGGATGGATATCCGTGTGCTTGCGGCCGCTGCATATACGCTTTAATGCGTGGGCGGCCTGACGTGCGCTTTGCCGGTCCGTTCACTTTCACTTCGTCCGTACGGCCTGGACAATTTACTTAGAACGTGCTTGCGCGCAATCGATTAGCATGAAGTAAATACCCAATCTCTCTCTCACTCTCATACTCGTGGTAATTGCTTCTGGGAGAATGAAATACAAGCGACCGCACGCTCTGATAGCTGTCTGCATTGGCTTGTATTTTGTGTTTTAGTGAACGGTGGCTTCGACTTGTATATAGTCGTATGCGACATTGTTTCAGAATTACCAAGTGTCGCCGCCTTAATTAACTAGTTCGTGCCTTTCTGTGGCTATATAGTTGGTCGTGTGCTAATTATCAATCAATTGTACTAATTATAGACGTCTCGGAAAAAAGCTGTGTCAGCGCGTACTCGCTCACTGTTCATCAATATATATATAGTTGCTTCCTGGACTTCGGGATGTGTGTAGTAAGCAGTGACCAGTCCGTATCGGTATCTTTGCGCGAAGCCTTTCTAATCGTGTAATCAAACTCCCCCCATTGGTCGATCGATCGATTGACGCCGTTGTTCTTCTCTGCGTGCAGGTCTCGCGCCAAGAAGAGCGCGGCGCCGGCGCCTCCCCGGAGCCTCGTCGGCGGCCCGTCGTCCTCCTCCATCGGACAGGCGCTGCGGGCGACGGGCAACGGGTCGGTGGTGAGCTGCCCGCCGGGCGCCACAGGTGCCGGCCGGGCGCTGAGCGACGACTGCGCCATCGACGACCTGCTCGAAGGGCGCATGGACCTGCATCTCGCGCTGCCCGACGGACGCGAGGTGCACGTCAACGTCGAACGGAGGTCAGTTGGGCCAGTTGGTAATTCGGTAGTATAAGACGCGCTCGCGTTAATTGTTCGTTCCTTCATTTTTCTTTTTTATTATTTTTATTTATGTTTTTTTACTCATACTCGTCAAAGTCTTCGTCATTTTTTCCCCTTCCTCATCTTCTTTCCTCTTTCTCCTCTAATCTTTGTTTCCTCTGCTTTCCTCCTCCAGAAAGAGTGAGAAGGCGTTGTGCCCCTCCAGGTGGCAGTTGCCGGCTTGCTCTCTCCCTCTTTCCTCTGTACCTTTGTGTGTCTGTGTATGCAAATAATAATAATATTAATAATAATCCTATATTTGCGCTTTTCGTCCAGTTTAACTCATAGCGTGGGAGAGTTTGGCGCCTTCTCTCTCTCTAATAAATAATAATCCTATATTTGCGCTTTTCGTCCAGTTTAACTCATAGCGTGGGAGAGTTTGGCGCCTTCTCTCTCTCTATCTCTCTCATTTTAGTAGTAGCGGGTCACGTGACGAGAAGAGGTGATTAAAGGGAAATAACTGAAACGAAAAGATGAAGTTGATTATGGTGCTTGAAACGGTCATGGTGATGATGCTCAATGACGTGCGCTGACGCGCTCACACCTTCGTAGTCCAACGGTTTTGACGGCGTGAAACTGGCTATTTATTTATTTATTTACTTATTTATTTATTTGTTTATTTATTTTCAAACTGCTGAATGGGACATTTCGTACGGCTCAGACGGAGCATGCCTATATGGATTATCAAAGAAAACTTATATGCTTCGCCGATGACATTGCATTGCTGAGTAACTCGGGGGACGAATTGCAACTCATGATTACGGAGTTAGACAAGGAGAGCAGAAAAGTGGGTCTTAAAATTAATCTGCAGAAAACGAAAGTAATGTACAACAACCTCGGCAAGGAGCAGCGCTTCGAGATAGGTAATAGTGCACTTGAAGTTGTAAAAGACTATGTCTACTTAGGGCAGGTAATAACCGCAGAGCCGAACCACGAGATTGAAGTAACTAGAAGAATAAGAATGGGGTGGAGCACATTCGGCAAGCACTCTCAAATTATGACAGGTAGATTGCCACTATCCCTCAAGAGGAAGGTATATAACAGCTGTATCTTACCGGTACTTAGCTACGGAGCAGAAACCTGGAGATTTACAAAGAGGGTTCAGCTTAAATTGAGGACGACGCAGCGAGCAATGGAAAGAAAAATGGTAGGTGTAACCTTAAGAGACAAGAAGAGAGCAGAGTGGATTAGGGAACAAACGGGGGTTAAGGATATCATAGCTGAAATCAAGAAGAAGAAATGGACATGGGCAGGGCATGTAGCGCGTAGACAAGATAACCGCTGGTCATTAAGGGTAACTGAATGGATTCCCAGAGAAGGGAAGCGGGTTAGGGGGAGACAGAAGGTTAGGTGGGCAGATGAGACGGGGTATAAATTGGCAGCAGCAAGCACAGGACCGGGTTAACTGGCGGAACATGGGAGAGGCCTTTGTCCTGCAGTGGACGTAGTCAGGCTGATGATGATGATGATGATGATGATGATGATGATGATGATGATGATGATGATGATGATATGCAGAGGATAAATATCGAAATAGCAGGGTGACAATTTGCGCCGTCATGGGCACAGCGCCCCCGTATATTACGTTTAGAACGAGGAGAACAGATACAGAACAGTAAGATTGAAAGATGGGATATGTAAAGGGAAAGAAGTTTCCAGATTACCGGGCACGCAGGTGAAAGTGCTGACAGAATATAGCGTGTGATGAAGGAAATATGAATGGAAAATGTTAGTGAGCGTTAGTATTGTCCCCCTTTTTTTATGGTGATCCCCTGTTCATGCGTTTAGGTCACGACATATGGTGCCATGTAAGGATTCTCAAAATTATAAAATTTTCAATTCTGACTTGAAATCAATCAGCACGTTCCTGACGACAACGTTGTGCTGAAATATAAATGGTGGCTTGCTTCTGGTTCGGGTTGTTAGTCATATAAAAAATATTCGGGGGTTTTAAAACCGTGTTATAACAGATGGCAAATAATCTAAACTGAAGCTTACGCGGACACTAAAGAAAAGAAGGAAGGCGTATTCACTGGCCTAGTAAAGCTTAAGAAAGCGGCGTAGCCGGTCGATATAAGGGATTTAATGTAGCCTTCTTGTCTAGTTTATAGGCATTTCTTTGGCGTAGACAGGGCAGAGTCGAACCACAGCCTGTCACAGACCATGCCAGAATGTCCAAACTCGAGCGCGAGAAAGTTACGTGCGAACCTATAGCGTGGACTTTTCGTCGCTCCTACTCTGCTCGCGCCACGCCGCGGCAAATAAACTCGGCGCGGAGGCTGCGCGGATGGCCTCCGTCTGGGGCCGCGGCTTGGCGGTGGCTGCTCGGAGCCTGCTCCCATAGAGTTTCCTGCAATACTTACTAGAGGGAACTCTGGCGCTAGTGTCTATGGGAGCTGCAACGCATGGCGCTTCAACGAGCATAGGAATGATGGGTAGTATACACACATTTGTCTAATCTTCGTACTTCTGGCCTGCTTCTGGCTCCGTGTGTGTTCATGTGGCTTAAAGCTTTTTTTTTTCTCACAAAACAAAAAGCAGCAAATGTTCAGCAATTGCGCTTCACCACCCTGTTTTTTTTTTTCGACTTACCTTTTCAAATTAGGTCTCAAAGTTGAAAAGGGTTCGTTCTTTTCTTTAAAACGAAACCGTAACCAGCAATAAACGAAGCCGCAAGTACAATTCGCCGCCCGCAAGTACGAAGACTATAGGCAAATGTGTGTACTATACCCATCATTCCCATGGTCTCTGAACGATCACAGCGCCAGAGTGCCCTCTAGTTAATTTTTGAGAAACTCTATGGCTGCTCCTCGGCGCACGTGCGCGATTATGGGCGCGGGTGAATGTGGTTCGACTCTACTCTTTCTACGCCAGAGAAAGACCTAGCATCAACCAAGAAGACCGAGTTACGCATCTATATAGGATCAACCAGCTAGATTCGCTGCTTCTTATGTTTTACGCGGATAGTGTAACCTTCTCCCGTTTTACCTCGAGCTTTAAGAGATCCGCTCAAAGACGCAATCATTCGTACACAGGTACGCAGATGTGCGGCGTGTGCCTATAATAACGTGAGTAAAAACAATGTTTTCATATTTGACTCCCATTCACGGTCGTGTCGCACGCCTATGGTGGAGATGTGTTAGTCGTCATTTTAAAATAAATGCATTATTCTACTGCAATCTTGATATAGGATACTATAAGAGAAACATCTAGGAATCGTTCACTTCAGGTGCAGAGTAGAATAGAACATTTGTCTCAGCCGATGAGCTGTATGAGCACGCGATATAGAACATAAATGTCTCCAACGCATTGCGACGGCGACAGTGGAGTGTGAGGACGTCTCATTGAAAAGCAGCGAAATCGGAGTGGGACGCGCATGGTGACGGTATACTATAGGAAGTGCGTAGCGCCCCACGCGAATAATCTCGCTTTGAGTTCACAGCGACAGGTGAGGAAGCGAGTACAGTAGCCGCCGGGAGATAGGATTTGTCGGGCGTCCCATTCTTTCGCTATCGTTTGTGTTCTGGCAGCTGGGAACACAGTCTGTAGGAATAACATACGCGTTCGGGGGAAAAAAAACAAGAAAATAAATAGAGATACATTGAGAAATACAATGAAGCTGATATAATTGCGGTCCGCTGGTATAATGTGTGCGGCCTGATATCAGCTACAACCTTAAAGTAGGTTGTGGGAGCGTCGTATAAGCACTGCATTTGCCATTCTGTGACTTCGTGCCTAGATTGCTAAAATTATTATGCTCCTTTTCTTTCTTTTTTGTTTAGCGGTGAACGGGCGTCGTACATTTTTTTTCTGGCTCAGTGTATGCTTGTTCTTGACGACAAATGTTAGGGACACGGGCTCCACTTGTTATGGGAGGTTTCGCTCTAATGAAACGCGACTCTTCTAAGTTATTGTAGAACGCGTTAACTCTATACTGCCGGATGAAATCTTTAATTAGACGCTGTGTTCCGAGGCCAAGCGGAGGTCCAGCTCTTTTGCAAACCCATCTATAGTGTCCAGGAAACCTCTGCCGTTGGACGTAGATTATTGATATTGTAAAATAGAATGCAAAGTAGAGACTCGGACAACTCAGTGTGTGCATGCAGTTTTCGTCTCACTTTTTCGTTCCTATTGGAAGCTGAAATCTCAAGAACATGTTTAATTTGCTGCTTCGATGAAACGTGCGTCAACAACGCACATCACCAAAGGCAGCTTTCACAGGATCTCAGTCGTTTGTGGACGTTCAAAGATTTTTTGAAACTGATGCACCATTTCCCTTTTGTTTTACCGTGGAGCTGCACATGTCTAGGTATACGAAAATGTGGCAGTCCCTGATTGCATAGAAACTCCAACCAAGAAGCAATGATAGCATACAGTACCACGTATAAGGCCTCCTTGCTTTTCTTTTGAGGTTTTATCCGCGTATACAGTTATAGGAATGATGCCCTCCGCAGTCTGAATCGCTACTGATAAAATTTTGTTTTCAGAATAATTTTAACCTAAAGTCAAACAAACGCACAATTTGAAGCAAGTATTTCTTGTATGGGGCAATACAGAAATCGCAAGCTACAGCAGAAGACACTTCGAAAAGTTCCCCAGCTCGTGATGAACACGGGGCGACCTCACGGTTCAGCTTCGTTGGTTTACCAGCTGTACGGAGTGCCTGAACGTTTACATCTTTCAAGGCTATTGAAGGATCATTGTTTGTCCCCGTCGACTTTTTTCTTTCATTGTGTGTCTGCTAGTATCGCTTAAGGTTTCTTCATCTATAGCCGCTTCCTTTTTTTTTTGTACCAGTAGATAGAGAGAGAGAGAGAGAATAAAATGAGGGAAAGGCCGGGAGGTTAACCAAAAGATGGAGCATCCGGTTTGCTACCCTGCACTAAGGAAAGGGGGAATGGGGAAGAAAGATGGGAAAGAAAGTGAAGAGGGAATTAGGA